AAAACCCTATCACATAATACCTCCAACTCCAATAATGATTTCAAGGAAGTGAGATGTACAGTGACTTTCTGCATAGAACTTCAACCTAAACCCTAGCCCTGGGGCCTGACACATCAGTGAGTTAAATGCAGTCAAAATAATGACTCAGACCAAAAGCCATATATACTACTATTACTTAATACTTTACATGCATATCAATGTACTTTTTATGTGAAAATATGTTGAAGGGTATCAGCCAACAGCTAGCTTCCCTATTTTACACAATTTTTGTTTGCCAAAAAGAGCATCAAATGATTATACAAATTCACTTACTATTTAATATGCTTGCCAAGTGTGTGTGTGTGTGTGTGTAGGAGGGCAAATTATGTTGGTCAATAAATGGGATAAGGTTTGTAATTATGTACAAACTAAAATTACAGTCACATAATGAAATACTAAAAACAGGGGAGCTTTGTATTGTATGGACAATTTAACCAAAATATGGATTTTGCTGTCAGAACTATAGATAGAACCAGGCTCAAATGTCGTTAGAGAAGCCAAAAAACATACATATTTTAAGCCATCGCGAATTACAGGCAGTATATAGCTTGATCAATGTGTGGAGGAATTTGCTTAATCTCTGTGCCTAATTGTTGTTCGATCCTGTACCTGATGAGATGAAGGAGAATAATCAAGTCAAATATAATGATCTCTAAATATCACTGACCGGTTAAACTATGTTTATATTTTTTTAGTTTGAGAAGCCGTACAAATTGAAGCGGTCTTCGTAGGTAATTAGATTCAAGGCTAACCCGAGATGTCCAAATCTTCCGGATCTACCAACCTACAAAAGCCGAGAGAATAATATTTTTAAATAAAAGAATTTGAAAATGATAACAAGTTATTATAGGTAACACAACCAGAAAATATAATCAACATACCCTGTGCAAGTATGTCTCTGAATTCTTAGGAAAGTCGAAATTGATCACAACATTTACTGCTTGGATATCTATACCTCTTGTGAATAAGTCTGTATCGAGCAAGAGATAGTATATTTTTCAGAGAAAGAAATAAAAAAAAAGATTAGAAAGCATCGGGTGACCACAGATTCAAACATTGAGGCTATATACTACACTAATGTTTTATAAATAATTACCAGTACACACAAGATTTCAGCAGGCACCATTGCGAAAGTCGTGAAACACTCTATTGCGATGATCTTGGAGCATTTTAGCATGGATGTAAAAGCAAGAATATCCGAGCTCCGTTATTTTCTTGGCAAGAAGCTCTACCCGGTTTACAGAATTGCAGAAGATAATTGATTGGTTGATTTGAAGCTGCGAACAACAAATGTTATAGATTGCAACTTCACAAAACAAAATCATAACGTGTGTGTGTGTGTGTGTGTGAAGATGCGATTGAGGAAGTGTTTGATAAAAATTTCTAACCTTAGAAAAGAGAGTGTTGAGGCAGTGAACTTTCTGCCTTTCTTCCACAAAAGCATAAAATTGGGTTATACCCTTGAGTGTAAGCTCGTCCATAAGGTTGATCACATAGGGCTTTCGCAGGTATCGATCTTTGAAATCTTTTACAGTAACGGGGAATGTAGCAGAGAACATGAGAATCTGACGATTTGCAGGCAAGAAGCGAATTAACTGCTCGATAGAAGGTTGAAACTCTGGAGATAAAAGTTTGTCCGCCTGAAGGAGCATACAAAAGATGAGATTGACTTTACTTTATAAGACCCATCACAAGAATTACACTTAAAAATTCCCAAAAAAAAAAATTAAATAAAAAAAAAAACTCTATACCTCATCCATTACAAGCACGCTGCATTCATTTAAGATACAAATACCCTTCCGAGCAAGATCAAGAATTCTTCCAGGTGTCCCAACAAGTAAATGAACAGGTTGGTAGAGACGCATTATATCGTCCTTTAGGCTAGTTCCACCTGTGGTAACCATGACTTCGATTTTCAAATGCTTCCCAAGTTCTTTACATACTTGTGACGTTTGAAGAGCCAATTCTCTTGTTGGGACAAGAATAACAACTGCAAAAATGCATACACATTTGAAAAGCAAAATATAGCATAATATGCAAATAACTACAGGCTCAGATGTGTCATACAGCTTCATGAACTTCCATACATCATTTTATGAAATTTTTCCATGATGACCCACACTCTGTGAGTGACAAACAAACAACCAAATCTCAAATTACTTGTAGAATCATACTCAGATCCCAAACACAATGTACCCATAGCTCATATGCTACATTAGAACATATCAAGACGGGAATTATATATTTAGAGAAAATTCCAATTGCATATAAGTCGAACCTTGAATAACGTTCTTGTCTTGATCGATTTTCTCCAAGGCCGGGATACAAAAGGCGGCTGTTTTCCCGGTTCCATTTTTGGCCCGGGCCAAAATATCACTTCCAGTTAGTGCAATTGGAATACTCTCCTCTTGGATTGGAGATGGCCTCTCGAAACCCTTCTCATATATTCCCATAAGCAGTTCACGCTTCAAAAAAGTAGTCTTCGAATTCATTTCCTTTAGTAGCTATAACATCCTGATAGACAGATGCAAAATGCAATGAAGGGTATTTCTTTTTACAAATATTGTTGTCTAACCCACAAAAAAAAAAATAAAAAAAAATGGCACTTACGATCACACCTTTCGATCAAAAAAAGACTTCAAATCCACCCAAAATCCTTACCTCGGTTTTGTAACGGGTGTCCGCAGGTGGTAGTTTTAATTGCACCTTCCAATCTTGCGAACTAATAATATAGTACAGAAGAAAAACAGATCAATGTCATGGTTTATGCACACACAGAAAGAAAAAAATAAATAAAATAAAATTATACCAGGGCCATGGACAAGGAACGAAAACTGGCAAAAGACTATCCACCATAAGTAGTTTAACTAGCTATAAGCAACAGTACTGCAAATATTCTATCAACATTCTATCAACGGGTATAACAAAATTCCAACATTCAATACATGCGAACACCCGTTCAATTGAACATAAATTAGGTGAAAGGGAAAGATCTTTGACCTCGAAACAGCAGCTTCAGATTGTACGGTCTTCTCGACCTCGTCGACCGAATAATTAGCTGGCGGGAGCTGATTCTGGTTCCTCATTAACCACTGCTGTGGCTGAGGGTTTTGAATGTTCTGCACCGGGCCCCTCTGCACGTACTGGTGGCCGGCGTTGAAATCAGGACCATGGCCGGTATGCGGGTGTTTCAGTCCGCCGCCGCCCATACCCGGCGGCGGATACCTCGACCTCGAACTCATCGGCAAAAACCTAGTTCCGTGGCGTTCACAGCGGGCAGCCTAATAACAACAGATTACAGATTGCAACATAAAATGCGTATGTCTGTATCTTTTATATTTGATCGAGGAATTAATTCAACAACCAGCTAGTGATAGAAGCAGAACGAATAAGGAATCAAAATGCAAAATTTAAGAACAAAACGAAGAACAAATGGCGATTCTTGGAGAGGGAGGGAGTCACCAAGGTGTGACCAGAAGTAGGATGTCGATAGAGAGATTTGTTTAATAATTTGCTAAAATCCTTGCAATTATTTGAGCAAATGGGCCATCAGTTTAAAAGCAGCAGCTAATCATTGTGTGCAATTTATTTTAAGAATAAGTAATTGTTCCTTTTCTTCTTTATTTTTGTTGGGTAGTGTAAGAACACTTGAGTGCATGATTGATTAGAGGTGTGAACGGTATGAACTCCAATTCTTGATATTTAAGCGTCAGCATTTATCTAGTCGAGCTAATCTCATTAACAAATCAAGTTTAAGATCGATTCATTTAGATACTATGCTGGATTTAATTTTAAACGAGTCGAGCTTGAGTATTAATAATTTTAGCTACAGAAAATAACATAAATATTTCTAATTTTGAGTTATAACGAGCTCAGAGCCGAGCTAGGTGGCTTACAAATGGCTCGTTTTGTTCAACGAGAGATAAAAAGATAAATCGGAAAAGTTGATTGTTAGCATTTGGGCTTGAAGAAAAAAATGTAGCATTGGGCCATGTCCAATAGCAAATTCAATTTGAATGGAAGCCCTCATAGGCTCATACATAATTCACGCCATTTTATAATTCCGCACGTGTCAACAACGTTTTGCTTCGCGAAAAAACACCTCTCTCGCACCAGCTGAGCTCAAACAAAAGCTTCGATCTTTCGTTCTAACCGGAATTATTCCGACGAATTTGAGGTATTTCCTCGAAACCCATTGTTCCACTTTCTTAGCTTGAGGTATCTCTGAATTAGCTTCAAATTTTTTCATGGCGCCTTTTCAGTTTTGGGAAACCCTCAAATTTCATAATTTTTGTTTGTGTTGGGTCCCCTTTACTGATAACTTGGTTAATTCGTCATGTAGACGTACTCGAAGCGTTGAGTAGCAATACGAGGAGAGTTAAGCATGGTAAGATGATTGCGGATGATTTTATTCGAACATGGTGTGATTTGTGTTTCTCTTTTTGGTTGCTTGAGGGATAATTACAGATCTTATTTCATTTTAATGGGTTTTTTTTTTTACTTTTCCAGTCAGTACTCTTCAATTTCCACTCGTTCCTGACAGTAGTGTTATCAGGCATCTGTGCCTGCACATACGTTAAGATGCATTTTCCAGCACTTTTGGAACAGAGGACTGGGTAAGCCATTTTTGTATCGCTAATTATTGGTATTTTTCAATGGCTGCAATTTTTCTGAATTATTTGCATGTAAAAATGGTTGAACGATTTATCAAAATATGACTACAATTGCTTGGTCCGATTTGGAGAAATTTTGTTTTGAGCGAAGTCAAACTTTAAATAAAAAGAAAAGAAGTTATGATTAAGTTAAAATATTACTTCCAGTGGTGATTCCTAATCCTGTCTAGTTGCTTGATGGTGTAAATTTTTTCATATCATCATATAAATACGAAGTTCTAAAGATAATTGGAGTGTTCGTGAGGGTGGAACTTTGTTTCAAATAACAACCTTTATCGGATTGCACAGTGGAACTTCTTTGAAGTTCTTTACAGTTTTTTCACAAATAAATGTGTAGGTCAAAATTGATTCCTGTCATCAGTGATGGTTCCTCTACATGTTAACTACTAGTTATTGATGCATATTTTCATTAATATTCTGCATATTATATGAGCAATTACATTCTGCGTATTTTCATTAAGCTACTGAACGCATACTTGGTATAATGTATTATCACAAGCTCGTATCAAACATGAGGATTTGAAAACTTGATTCAGTTATATATTTGTGACTTTGTGTAAGTACCTGTGTGTATTATACACGTGATAAATGATATTATTTGCTGCTACTAAACGTTTATTGTTATCACCCTATGGTTCAGTCATTAAATCAAAAGTTGATGTTATATTATTCCTACACTCATTTTCTTTTATCCCTACACTGATGTCGTTCTTTATTTGGCAGGTTTCGAGGTGTTTTCTGGAAGGCTGCTAGAATAGGTATCACTAAACCAACCTGCTTACATGCAACTCGAGCTGTACAACTTAGTTTTTTCAGAATATATATCATGATCTGTCAAAGCCTGCATGACTTCTGCTAACATATATGCTGCAATAAGTCCAATATGATGGGAATGGACAGAGTTTCGAAGACTTAAAAAAGCTCGTTAATACTTTCTATACCTCTCTTAAATCACAATCTGTTGTGTATCTTCATAAAATCACCCTGTTCTTAGTGATGCTTGTCGATTTCTTTTTTGTTTTATATTATTTATTAAGAATTTCTTGCAACTCACAATGCTTCATGTAACAGGAGAAAGACTTAGCCCTTGGGTTGCTATCGGGTGCTTCGCGATGGGGGTTTCAATAATCTTCTTCTGAATTGGAATACCATTGACTATTAGGCTCAAACTGAAATTATGTACACTATCATCAAGTTGAAAGTTAAGGTGAATATATTATTTGAAATCACCAGTGGCACCGAAAGTTGCGTCGAGCTTCAATTGTTCTATTTTCAATTTCCATCCCATGGTTTGCCTGTCCTGAGTTTGACCATACCTTACCTCTGAAGACATTCATCTTTATAGTTTGAGAATATATAAACTAATTCTTGTATTTAGTTTCTATTTTCTAGTATTCATCAGCAAACAATGGTATAGTTTATGTATACGCAATAAAACGCACCTTTCAGTAAAAGTAAAAACTTTTTTCAGCAAGTTTCGAGTGTTCTTTTTTGTCACTTTCAACTTTTGCAGGTTCATCTTTCTCGCTAAACTCAACTGCTGCTGCTGCTAGTTCAGTGCTTTCTTCGGCTTCAAATTGGTAGCTCCTCCAGAAAAAACTTTGTGTGTTGTAATCCTTTCGACGAAAACTTCTTT